GGGGGTAAAGGGAGTAGAGATCTTGGAAGTCCCTTGAAGGATGCTTTCATAGTTTGTGTCCATATCCTGCCAGGCATAATTTGGTTTTGCTCACGTGACTGTCACAGGACACTTGCTCTGCGCTGGACATCATGGAGGCATTGAGCCAAGTAAGCCGAGGACAAGGCTGCTTCCTTGAAGAGGATGGGTACCTGTAAAGGGACAGACATAGGAGCAAGGCTCAGTTTCTAATGAAAAGCATGTGATGGAGAACAGTGGTTCACACTGGTCAGTGCAAATAAGTAAGCAACAGGGACAGATATGGAAGGTATTTAGTGGGTTTAAGAGCTGGGAGCAGGGATGGAATAAGTATGCAGGTGAAAGAAGGGACCAGGATCCTTTTCCTATCACTACCATTCATGTACATATGTGTGTTGTGCCCCTTTCCCTCTGGCTGTGTTCCCCCTTTCAGTGTGGGGCTCTCCTGGGTCCTGTTTCTATGATGGTGAGATGGGCCAGGTGGTTATCCCTCTTTATTGATGCTTTTAGTCTACATCTATGCTGCATCTACCAGGGCTGAGCATTTTCTAATTTCAGCAACATTTTCACAACTACCTTATTGTAAAGAAATTATGGTCCCAGTTGGAAGAGGAGGAAACTGAAGCTCTGAGAGAGTGTATAATAGTGTGCATGTATCTTCAATAAGAACAAGAGACCTTTGTAACTGTCCCCTGGGAAGCTTTCCTTTCCACCCTGGAATTAGCTTCGGGGCAGTGTGCCTGAGCTTCTTGGAACTTGACCTTCAGCTCCTCTAGAATCAGTTAAGGGGTTTTGTTTAAATGGTAGTAGAGTGAGGCCTTCAAGAAGAGCCTGCTGAGAGAGGGGTAGCTGGGTTACTGGAGGAGAAGGCTTAAAGTCCAGGACATCTGGATCAGAAAAGCTATACCACCTGGAAAATAAGGTCAAATTGTGGGGAGAGGGTATCACAAGGTCACTTGTAAAACCAGAAGCTGCCAGCAGGTAGCATTGCTGAATCTGGAGTCTTTGGTTTTCACTGAGCCCCAGGCCTGAGACCCACCTAAGCTCCACCCATTCCTTCTACCTGTCCTGCCTCCCCCTCCCCCGACTCAGTAAGGCCACAATTAAGCATCAAGGTGAAGCCTCCTCTCCCTCTGGGTGACTGTGTTCTCTTTAGGAACAGATAAGCTAGACAGGGAGCCAAGCCATAGTATGCAGCTCAGCTTGCTCTGCATACCCTGTGTGTGCTCTCTGCTCTGCTAGTGGTGGTAGAGCAGCTGCCCAGTCCCAGAGCCCGGCCGCCAGCACAGGATCAGCACACACTGACACTGTTTTGCAGAAAGCCCTGGTCCACTCCGTCCTGCCCAGAATGCTTGGCTCAGCGTGAAGGGCCAACTCCTTGTATCTTAGAAACCTTCAGGCATTCCTCTCATCATGTCCTTAGGTCTAGCTGAGTGCTGATCACTGCAGTCTGCCTCCAAGAGGCAACAAAGGGGAGGGAGTGGGCTACACATCCAAGATGGAGGCTAAGGAAGGGAGCTCTGTCCATTTGTGTAAAGGTTTCCTGGAAATGGGAGAAGAGGAAGTTAACCAAGGGGGCCTGGGCTATGGGTGGGTCTTTCACACCCGGGTGAGGCTGAATTAGGGGGGTGGTCCTGGAATGGCTGGAGGCTGAGATCTAAAACATTTTGGTGCTATTTAGACAAAAGAAGAAGGCAGACCATAGATCTACAAGGCTTAGAGGCTTCAAAGCTTTAAAAGGAAACCAAGGGGAGAGGCAGGTTTTAGACTAGCCTCTCTACCTTCTTGCCTGCTCCCCCCACCCCATCCTGTGCTTGGGGCCAGGAGGAAGTCCCCACTAGCTTCAGGCACTTTCTTCTCGGTTCCCTTTCCCCACCCAGCTCCCTTCCAGGTTGCCAACCTCCCAGGTCATACTCTCTCCCTTGGAGTCTGAGGCTGACCCATCTGGAGTCCAATTTTGAGGCCAAGATAGACTCTCCTGCCTCTGACCTAAGTTCTCACTCTGCCTTCACTAAGAGGTGAGGGAAGCAGTCCAGTTATCACAGGCCAGGCCCATGGAGGTGTGGAGAAAGCTATCCATAGCCTCACTCAGGCTAAGGGAAGGTTTGGGCCTGGTGATACTTGGCTAGAGAACAGGATGAGGAAAGGCTGTGAATGGCTGTGAATGCTCCTTGGAGCAGCACCATAAGGGACAGGAGTGTGGCCTTTCACTGAATTTCATAGGTTCTCCATGGATAGGAGAAGCCTTTGAAAGGGAAAGGGAAAGTGCACTTTATCATCAAGGGCAGAACAGCAGGTTGGAAGTAGATACAGAAATGGCAAAGGAAAGGGCCAGTGAGGGAAGAAGAAGAGGAGGGAGCCAGATTAAGCAGGATCTCCAATGTCAAATATTTAGGGAAGCTGAGACATTCCTCCAAGAACCAGAGCATCATCACAGGGGAAGTTCACCTCTCCTCCTGAGGGCTCATGCTTGCAGGCAGGTCCCAAATCTGAGACTCAGGAGTGAGCCTCAGTTCCGGTCACATAGGACTACACCCAGCCTAATCACTGCATTCTCTGGGCAGAACTAATTAACTAAGGCAAAAGAACCAACTGACAAGGTTCAGGAACAGAGAATGCCTGGACCTACAGAGCAGGAGGGATTGGGGAAAATGTTTACATTCCTCCCTGGCTTTATAAAACCAGGCGCTTCCCCAGTATGCTGGCCAGGGGCATAAAAGTCTGGTTAGTTCTGACTCCAAGAAGAATGAGGACCACCCCATCAGCAGCCCCGTAGGGCTCTAAAGGTGATGGCTACCAACCTGCACATTTTGGAGTCTCTGCTACAGGATGCAGACCGGGTCTCCACATGTCCGAAGGACAGGCTCTGCACCCAAGAACTACTGATGGAAGTAGTTCTGCCCTCACGCTGCAGCTGCCCCTGACCCCCCCTTCCCAGCAGGAACACTGCAAACAAAGCTACCACTTTGGCTACTTTGTTTTGTCTATTTTTGTTTTAATTCTTGTGCGATCCTTTTGATCCTCCATATGGAACTGTTGGGCAGAAAGAGAAAAGCATCCAGGTCGCTCCTCACTCCCCAGATCCCCACCTGTGGCACTGCAGGCCCCCTGTCCCTGGGGCTGCAATTGGCTTCTGCTACAAGAGATAGACCACGACCAGCTAGACTGAGAGAGGAGTAATGGGATCCAGGATTCTACAGAGGACCCAAGCTTTTGTGAATCTCTAACTCAGGCAAGCCACAGGAGTAAATCGGAGAAATGCTTCCTGCTGTGCTGTTATTTAATCCCCCTTTCCCCAACCCTTTCTCCGTCCCACTCTCCCAGCCAATTAATTCAACCCTGAATCTTTGGCCGGGGGGGGGGGGGGGGGGGGGGGGACTCTAAAAGGGTCCAGAACCAGAGGACGTCCCAGGTGGTGGATCCCAGGCAGTTACCTTCCTCCACCCACGCGCTTCCCGGCTGTATGGTGCCGGGCTGCCAAAGCCATTGGGTCAGCCTTCCAGACTCAAAACAAACTCGTTTATTTCAATTTTGCTTTCACATTTTGTTCCGATACAATCAAAACTCCTGGACGAACCTCTTGAATAAAAAGTCTTGCGAATGAGCGCGGGGCTCCCGGTGATTCGGCGGCTGGACTCCGGGTTCGGTAGGCAGTGGTTTGGAACGCACACTGCTGCTTCGCGAATGGAGGATCCGAGGGAGGTGGGGGACATCCAGGAAAGCCGTTGCCCGGGCAGGCTGGTTCAGGTCCTCCCATTGGAACGATTCTGAATGCTTTTGGAATTAGAAAAACCAAACTTCGCTCCCAGCCCCGTGGTTACGTCGGGCCTAGCGGGACTGGGGGCAGATTTCTTAGGCTAGCGCGGAAGGAGAGGGCACAGACGAAGGCAGGCCCATTCTTAGACATAGTGCATAGGGCCAGCTTTGCCAGGAAACCTTTGCACCTGTCTCCTTTTCTGGTTGCGTGGTGTTTTGGTTTTTTTTTTTAATTTTTTTTTTCCTCTAAGTCGCCTGCCGCTTTTCTGAATCTCAGTCTCCAGTACCCCGGGCCCCCAACTCACAGGTGGGGGAAGATGCAGAGTATAGAAAGCTGTTTCAGAAAAATAAAATAAAAGTTCCACTTTGACTTTATTGGATTAAAGCAAAATTAAATTTTGGCTATTCACACGTATGTTACAGAGGAAGAGGAAGCGTCCGGAAGAACCTCCTTGCGGTTAGTGGAGCCACAGAACACGAGGGCACTGACAAGCATCAGAACATCAGGCAGCCTTGGGTGTCACGACCACTCCGAATAGGACATAGAAATACGAAATACAGCCAGTTTCCACTGGGAAGAGTTCTTCGTGTACAAATGATATATATATATTTATGTATATTTTGAACCAGTCACCACTAAGGTGAGTCCTTTCTTGTGTAACAAGCAGCCGAGGATACAAAGCATCTTCAGCTAATTAACTCTTGAGCGGGTGTGTGAAGAAGAGATATGCTTGTCATGTTAAAACCACCTTCCCCGTTCAAAATTTAAAAAAAAAAAACCACCTTACCCCCTGTACAAACTGAGAGAGAGAGAGAGAGAGAGAGAGAAACATCCGGTTTCACTAAGTGGGGTGAATGGGGGCATACGGAGAGAGATTTCACTTTATATAGTTAAATGCAGTTTCTTTTAAATAACTGATTGGGAACCTGAATATAGGAGTCGGAAACAATGACAAAGCAGTCGCGTTCTTGATTACTGCAACTGGAATGGGAGTGGTGAGTTTATTTTTGGAAATGGGAGTACGCATAGCTAAGCGGAATTTACTTCTCTTAGAAAGGAAACGGACCGAGTGGTCCGCCCGCCCGCCGTGCTCGCCTCGACTCCCCGCGCGGCTAGAGGGACGGGCAGGAGGGGTTCAAGCGGGGCCGCTTCCTTGCTTCCTCGCCCTCTTACTTTCATCCTCTTTTGTACTCCCTCTCCTGCCTCCATTCCGGCTGTGAGCCAGTCAGAGAGGAAACACGAGGAATCCGGAGAAGGTCGAGTACTTCCAGCCCCCCATCAAGTTCCCTCGCTCCAACTTGAGGTATGCCCGGTCGCCTTTTTCCATTTGGATCAGGACTCCGTTGCTGGCGGCCTCCCGGGTCACGTCCTGGTCACCAGCGAAGGCAGAAATCACCGGCCACCCGTTCAACATAAGGCTCACCTGAGAGAGAGAAAGGCCGGTTTAGAAAGGGGCGCAGGCCAGCCCGGCGGCACCCGAGGCTGCGGCGGAGATGTGAAGGTCCTCCGCGGGGCTGGCCGCCACGAAAGCCTGGAAGCCCCGGGGAGAGGGGAGCCAGGGGGAGACGGACTTGGCCGCTTCCTGCAGCCGCGGGCTCAGTGGAAACGAAAAGATCGCCTATCTGAGTGAGAGACAGAATCTGCTCCCAAAGCGAGAGTCACTCTCACTCATCCCAGTTTCTCAAACGATCGCGCCAAGCGAAGGCTGGCCGTGCAGTAAGTACCCCGTTTAATGAGCCCGCGGCTGGCTCGAGCGCCCCAGACTTTGACCTCTCCTGTTTCCTAGAGCCTGAAAGAGAAACTCGGGCTAACTCAGCTCCCGGCGTTCCGAAATAGCCAAGACAAACAAACCAACAAAGCCCTGGCCCCTCCCGATCCCAGTGACCCCGACACCGTGGGGACTGGAGGCGAGACTTCTGGCTGATTAGAAACCCTGCCAGCGGGACTGCACTCGGCGCTTCGTCCTCAAACCACGCGCTCAACTCCTCCGCTCCAGCCGTGCCCCGCCTCGGAGGGTGGCAACGCAGCCAAGGGCCCGGCACTCTGTTCCCAGCGGCGCTTTCCGCCTCTCCCAGCGATCTAGGGAAACCTGGACGTCTCCACGCCCCCTCCCTCCTCTCTCTCTCTACCCCACACACGCCAGGGATGGAGCTGTGAGTTCTGTGAACCAGAATCTCCCCTAAAGGGACGTCCTTCAGGGCGTCAGGTTAGGGGAACTGAGTCCTTTCTGCAGGCTGAAGGCCCGCGAGCCTCGGGGCGTGCTCCTGGGCTGGGAGTCGAAGGTATTGTCCATGGTGCTGAAAGCCGGAATCTGGGAAAGCTTAGAAAAGCGGGAGCTGTCTGGGGCGCTCACAAACATTTTAGAAAGTCCCCGGAGTCCTGTAGGAAAGTCCTGTAGCTCCGAGGGCTGAGACAGAAAACCATCTGTGGGGATACGGCCAGGAAAGCCAGCGACCGGGATAGCAAGGGACAGTCCACGCCGCAGAAGAGCGAGGCCCGGCTGTCTGCACCTCCAAGCAGCCCGCAGCACATGCAGCTGTATTTCTCCCTCCTCCTCCCCCTCCACAGAGCCCTTTCTTGACTCCCCTGGGGTTAGAGGTCCCCAAGGAGGACTGGGCCTGCCCCCCCCCCAGGCGGCAGCTGACCTGGATGGTCTGTCTGTTGTAGACTTTTACCACGTGGAAGTTAAAACTGTAGATCCCTTTTCGAGGGGCGATGAAAGTGCTGCGTTCTGAATCAAAGTTGTTCCCGATGTTCACTAGTACCTATAAAGAGACGGAAACCAAGGGGAGTAGACCGGGGTGCTTCCCGGGCTGTGGCCTCCGTGCCTCCCCAGGGCCCTTGGCGAGGACCAGACATCACATCTTCCTCCGCCGTCCCACACCCCCTCCGATCCAGCCCGCACGCCTCGGGAGGAAGGACACTCACCTGGTCGAAGTAGATGATCATGGTGCGGTTACTCATCTCGGACGGCTCATGGTTGGTGCTCCTGATGGCAGAGAAAGCCACCTTGGCGCTGCCGGAGCGCACAGAGATGCCCAGAGCTGTGCCCGTAGGGTCGGACGTGGGGTTCGAGTCGCACACCACCAGGCACTTGCCCTCCAGCACGATGGGCTCCGTCTCATTCTGCCCCCGGGCCGGGCCTGCCAGCCACGCAGCCCCCAGAAGCAGCAGCTCCACGATGCCCAGCATCGCGCCGCCGGCGCCCACCCCGCCCCCCACCCCGGGGGCTGCCAGCGCCAGCCGCCCCCCTCCCCAGCCCTGCTCCGAGGCCCCCTCCTCAGCTTTGTGCGCAGCGCAGCCGACGCCGCCCTGGACTCTACTGATCTTCCTCGCACTCTGGGACCAACGTCCTCCCGCCCGAAGCTCTGGGAGCCCCGCCCGGGCCTCAGGGGTGCAGCGGCTGCCCAGCCGCACTTGGATGCATAGCCGCTGCTGCTTAGTCCCCGCTGTTGCCGCCGCCTCCTGCCCGCACCCACCGCTGCCGCCGCCGCCGCCGCTCTGAATTATTGATGCAGCGGGCGCTGCAGCGGAGCGGGCGGAGAGCGCGCGCCAGGCACAAAGGCGCAGACCACAGCCTGTCCCCGCCCCCGCCCCCGCCCCGCCCTCGCCCGGCCCGCCTCTCTCTAAGCCCCGCCTCCGCCTGCGCCGAAACCCCGCCCTCCAACCAATCCTGACGCGCCGCGCTCCCCGCCGGGCCAATGGTTGCCCTGTCCGCGCGCGGCCACCTGACCCCGGACGCCGTTGTTATTAGGCGCGGCGAGGCGGGCGGCGCGCGGCAGCAGGGTTGGGCGCTCAGGCCGGGAGTCGACCGAGGGAGCGAGGGAGGGGAGTGCGCGCGCGCGCGCGCGCCCGCGCCCGGATTATCTACTGAGGCCGCTCGCCCTCTCGCCACTTGGCTCATGCCAGGACCCCGTTCAGTCCCTTCGGCCCTTCTCGCGCGCCTCCTTCGCCAGTCCTCAGGTAGGAGGAGGCGCGCGCCAGGGCCGCGACTTTGCCATCGCGGAGGACCAGGAGGCACCCGCCTGCGGGTGTGCGGGGTGGAAGGGGAGCGCCCCCCAGTGGGCGCAGGCGCACGGGGCAAACAGGGGCTTGGGGGGTCGTTCGGTGGCCCGGCTGCGTGCGGGCAGGGCGGGGCCTGCGTGAGGCCGGGCGGGGGGGGGGTGTGGAGGTGAGGGCCTCCCCACGTGGCGCGGCGCGCGGGGAGCGGGCTCTGCAGGCCCCGGAGGCTAGTGGCTCTGTATCAGCCCGGGCTCTGCTGGTGCCGGGGTCCCCACGGCCCCTTACCGGGTCGGCAACCAAAAAGATGGAGTCAGGCTCCTGCCCGCCTACGGAGGTGCCGGCCACGGGCCAGGGGTCAGTCGTGAATGCGTTCGTTCACCTGTTCGGGACAGAATGCCGAGCACTGTGAAGTGCGGCACGGGGCCGGGCCGCTGAGGGTGGATGGCAAAACGAATCCGGTTTGCCTGGTGCTCCTTACAACAGCGAGTAGTGAAAGTTGGAGGGCGTCGCCCGCGGCGGGCTCATTGATCGCTCACGGGCTTCTCACTGGCCCTCGATCTGATGTTTGTATTTTGTATGCGTACTTTTGGTGTACTGGGCACCTTTTCTGCATGCTTTACCCACGCGTGGCTGAACGTCACTGTCTGCAGCTTAGACACCAAATCTTGTGACTTGTGGGAGGTTGTTCAAGGGTGATTTCAACCCTAAGTGAATTCTCACCACACTCCTACACCTAGAAACACACACGCGCGCACACACGTACTCACAAACTTGAAAGTTAAAAAAAAACCCAAAACGACAGCTTTACGAAGTGTCAGAGAGCCGCGGGGTTGGTGAGAGGAAGGGCGAGTCCCAAGGCTGGCTGCGGAAAGCCGCGATCAGGAGGATGGAAGCGGGCAGTAAAAAGGCAGAGACTGCCCGCTGGGCTCTTGGCTCTGGGGCCTTGCCAGTCGACCTTGTAGCTATCGTGCCCGGCCAATGGGTTGCAGACTTGTGGCCTGTGGGGGCCTGACAGGAACCTGGACAGATGCTGGGCGCAGGCTGAAAGCTCGTCCCGCACAGGACCGCCTTGCGCCGGTGGCGGGTCTGCTGCCCCCTAGGGTACGTTCCTTGCCCGAACAAGGAAACAGGCCTGGGAATCTCCAGCAACCATGCCTGCCAGCTTCCCCATCTCCTTTGTCTCTCTGAGACTTACTTGATAGCAACTTAGAGAGCAAGCCAATCTCTGACTCTCACATCCATGGGTTAGGAGCAAGGAAAGGGGTGGACGATAAGGCAGCAATTTTACTTTAAATCAAAGCCACAAGAAAATTTTTGTCCCATCTTTACTTAAATTTTTCCTTTGATACTGGGATTTTAAGTCAGGGCCTCTGGCTTGACCACTAGAGTCATACCTCCAGTTTTTCTGCTTCGGTTATTTTTCAGATAGGTCTCTCACGTTTTTTACTGGGCCTTCTGGAACTGAGATCCTCCTGAGTAGCTGGGATTACAGGTGTGACCCTCTATACAGGGTCCCAATTTCTCTCTTTTTGAGTCATCCCCAGAAAGCATTGCCGTCTGTGATTATGCCTAATGTGAGAGCAAGAACTAACTTAGGAGGTGAATACTGAATAATGGAACTACATCAGGGTAGTGGCAAGGACCATGGAGAAACAGGTAGAATTAGCCTTTTGATCCCAGCAACATTGTCAGTCATTCTTCAGTGTCTACTGAGTGCCTCTTGAGCCACAATTGCAGCCAAGAGCAAGAGGTGGGAGGGAGGGAGCTTATTTTCATGGAGTACATGATGCAGGACTAAGATGGTGTATAGAGAATCGTGGCCAGCCTCCTCCTCCTCCTCCTCTTCCTCCTCCTTCTCCTCCTCCTTTTCCTCCTCCTCCTCCTCTTCTTTTCCTTCCTCCTCTTTTTTTCTCTCTTCCTCCTTCCCTCTCCTCTTCCTCTTCCTTCTCCTCCTCCTCCTCCTCCTTCTTCTTCTTCTTCTTTCTTCATCTTCTTTCTTCTTCATCTTCTTCCTTTTCTTTTTATTCTTATCTTTATGCTGAGGTTATAGTAGGCAATGCTGTCTTCTGGACTGGACTACCATCTATATGCTGAGTATTCTCCATCTTGTATTTCCATCTCAGCCAATCTGCAGTCTAGATTTGACATGTTAAGGGCCTTGGCCTGGGCCTTTTTGCCGATAGATCCTGAAGCCATGATTAACTGACCCATACTTAGTCAACCTTCCTGCCTCCCAATTCACCTACCTTCTTTTCTCTCCTAGTACACCCACCTAAGTGCCCCACATCTAATATGATACCATCTCAATATCCTGTTGTTTGAGCCATATTGGTAAAGCTGCCAGTCCAAAGCTCATTGTCTCAAACTTGGGCTACTTGCAAGAGTCTCTTGAATCATTCCAAGATTAGTGAGGAATCACCTCCAGGCTCTGCCACATACTGTTTATTCTCATTTGATGAACATCTGTTGAGACTCTTAAGATATAATAATCTCTACTCTTTTCCCATGTGATTAAAAAAGGTTGACTCCTCTACCCATCCCCATCCCATGAAGGATACATTAAAAAATAATGAACACTAATTTAATTGTAATAGACATGTACTTTCCTTAATTATGCTGACTGGGGGAAATTATATGCATAAGAGGAAAATCCATAAGAAACCTCAGAAGCCATCATGTTTATTCGTGTGTGTATGTGTGTTGTGTGTGTGTGTGTGTGTGTGTGTGTGTGTGTGTGTGTGTATGTGTGTGTGACAGAGGGGGGAGAGAGAGAGAGAGAGAGAGAGAGAGAGAATGCACCTGGGAGCTATCACTTTAGACAGCACTATACCACTTGAACCACAGGACCACTTCCAGATTTTTGGTGTTAATTGGAGATAAGTATGTCACATGCCACGGACTGTCCTTTACCAGCTGGCTTTGAATGATAATCCTTAGATCCCAGCCTCCTGATAAGTAATTAGAATTACAAGTGTCAGCCATCAGCAGCCACTGTCTGTAGAACTTTTAAAGTATTTGTTTAAAAAAATTTAAGAAGCTATAAGCTTACAAGTGGTGGATTTATTCTGTTGCTGTTATAACCTTTGGCTTTAAATTCCAGCTTACATTTAGGTGAACTCAAAGGTTTATTTCCTCTTTCAGTGCTCTGAATTTCCCCCATAATACAATTGGAGTAATGAATGTGACAACCACCTTCATTTGAGATGTTGTATTCCTGACAGCACGACTCACCCAAACCCACCCAGACCCTGTGAAGTAAGCCAACACCTTTGTTGGAATGAGAGAATACCTTCAGGAAATAGATGACTATTGTCCCACAGGATATGAAACAAATCCGTCCTGTTCCAAAATCAATATGGATTTTTCAATGTATACATCTCTTTTTGGAGTAGTTCAAAGGCCCAGACAATATTATTTCCAAGGATTTGGTTTGCTTGCTCTTAAAGCAGAAGAGAAAGTATACCTTGTTTTGACAAGTGCTAAATTTAGGATCTTAAGGGTCAACATCATTTCAAGTTAATTCCTTGGCATTAGGAATGATTAGGAATGATCCTAAGTTGTACCAAAGTATGAACTAATATTCTAACTTTCAAATAAACCCATCTTCCTGGATATATCTTTTCTGCCTGTGCAGATTCCTGTTAAATGCAGTATTTTGCTAAGTTTTTAAGTTATGTTTCAAAATTAACTTTGTAACTAGAAACTTTTAGTAAATACAGGAAAAAGACAAGATTATCTCTTAAGAAAAGCCAGGTTTGTGAAAACATTTTAGTTCTTTCCAAAATTCTTATCTTATTGTAAAAAAAATCAAAGAAAACATTTAAAAATTTTTAACTCATGTTGGTTCCAAATTTTGTATCTCTGTAGCTGAGAGACTATCTCCTCCTCTCAATTAAAAGAAACTGACATAATTTCCAAGATGATGCCTTGAATTTGCAGTGGAATGTACTGGTAGGAGTTTTGTATTGAGCTATTATTCACATAGATGATGTTAAGGTCAAAGGAAAAAATCATAAAATAATTTAAATCTACGAAGCTGTTCTTGAGAGAGACAAAAAAATCACATAAGTAACATCAGACTCTAGTTGGAATTTTTCCAAGAAGTAATTATCTGTGTGCTGTTTGGGATGGTTGATTATGAGACAAACCAAGGTTTAGCTAATTCAGCAAACATTTATGGAGTGCCAGCA